GATCACATAAGGTACAGTTTCCATTTTTTTAAATCAACTTTTTGATGGTTAGGAGATATTGTACTTACCTTCTTCAAGAGAATTAAAAAAAAAAATTATGCATTCTGCAAAGCATTACCACAGCATTGTTGATTATTGCATAAATAGAACTACTTTTATCTATACTTGCTTCATATTTCATCCTTTAACAATATTTTAAAGATTGTTAGGAAATCTGTAAACACTGTATATACATGTCCAATTCCACCCAAATGCCCACAAACCCATACATAAGTACAAAGAAAAACCCGCTTGTCCACTTACACACTGTACAAATATGTAAGTAAGACAAATTACTGTACTTTGAAAACTATTTCTATATAAGAACTGCTCTCAATAATTAGAATTACATGCAATCACAGGTATTGAATTACTATATTAAAGGATTCCCTTTTATGATATCCACTAAAGGTGCAGTAAGCACCACAGCACTAACCTTTGAAAACAACGAAATATCATTTTAAAAAACTGCATGTAATATAAGGGCCTAATATTGACCCACTGGATCCAGGTGTCATGGATGTCTTGTAATGACCATATTTGCCCAAGGGGCAGGTGACGGGAATGTCATCATGGAATAAAATTTGGCCAATGGACAGGTGATAGGAATGTCTTGTCACGGAAAATAATTGAGTCAAGTGGGTGGGTAACAGGAGCATCTTGCCATGGGAAATAGTTGCCTAGCAGCAGGTAACAGGCATCTCATCAGAACATACAAAGCACCTATATGATTTCCACTGGTCCATGGGGGTAAAATCTCAAATTTTAGCAGTGCAGGGTGTATTATGTTAAGTTAGATTATGAAAATAACTCTATGTTAGTTAATGAATAGAGTATAAACTACCTCAGGTGAAAATATGGAGCTCATTGAGAACAGTTATTATCACTGACAATGCTGCTAATCACCTTAATTGTTCATATGTAGATAATTTTAAATAATTTATTGAACTTGATTCAGCTTAGCAAATAACAAATATTGACCTCTGAAAATAGCAAAATTAGAAAAATGGATCTTCAGAAACAGGTATAATAGTATTGCAAATATGAGGCTAGGAATCTTGTTACTTCATTTGAGCATTCATGTGGGCTAGGCCTATAAACTACAAACTTTAGAGAGCTGTCACTTAAGTAAAATTAATGCCCAGATTTTGGTCCACATACAAGCTGCATTGCACCCAGATCCAATGGGGTAAAAGGAAAATGCATGAGTACAGATGGAGTGCATATATAGCATTCAAAAGGGAATTCAGTAAACAGAATCCTCCTCCTCCTCCTCCTCCTCAAAAAAAAAAGAAAAAAAAGGATGAGTATAAAATAAAATAAAGAGGAGGGCTTGATACATACTATGCTTGTAAATATAAATCATGGAAGAAAAGGTATAAAAAATGAGGGTAACTAACCATCTACATTAACATCATAATAAACAAAAACTGAAACAAGTAGGCAACTTGAGAAACATGTCTCAAGAAGGCAAGTACAGATGTATTATAACTATGATTAGCATGAAGAGATATGAGGAACAGTGAAGAATTCATGCTAAGCAAATTGTAAATAACACAACAAAAGGAAGCTCAAAACATGACACAAATATGCTGAAGGCATTTCTGGTACATTGCTTCTCCATGGCGGGAAGCAACATAGCAATATGCCCTTAGCATATTTGTGTTTTCCTGTTCCTCTCTTTTAGACACTGGATGATGCCATTGACATGTACATAGTACTATATTTGATGACAAGGATAATGACTATGACAAATGTTTTAAAAGAAACATTTTATCTTCAGGTCTGTGACTGCTGAGAGGAAAGTATTTTAGGCAAGGGATGAGGAATATGATACAACAGAGGGTACAGCAAAGGGGACGGGGCATGTGGAGAAAAGTACAAAGCATAGGCAGAGAAAAATCTGCATCCCATAAAAACACTAAGTAAATTGGAATCAAAAGCTAACAAATGGCAGAAAAGATAGAAAATCAACCTCCAGACATCAATTTTTCCAAATATTCACTTCTATTCTTGGTTCATCCTTTTTCTGACCACCTTTCCTGTGCTGCAAACAGAAAACCCATACATACTTGGATGCGCATACCTTTCCATCATCCATGCCATGTCTGTTTTTGAACATGTTCTCCACTTCTGCAAATCCCATTTTCTCATCAGGCTGAAAGGTAAGGGCATGGTACACTCTCCCATGAATTCTCCTTACACAACCTCTCCTTGTTAGGCCTCAGCCAACCTTATATTATTCCAAGGCCACACCTTTGTATCCACAAGCCCTCAAGCTACTTTCATGTACACCAGTGGTACAATTTAAACTCCTATTGCAATGCTACATTTCATGACCCTTTTCTGTTATATGTAGCCAATCAGATAAACTGCTCAGCGACCACACTTTAACATTAACTGCAGTTTCTCTCCATTGGATAAACTCATCATCTGTGTCCTCAACTATTACCATTTGTCA